GGGTCTCTATACCCAACACCACGTTTGACAGCGCCATGCAGGTATTTAAAGGTATTGAAACAGACTCTTCAATCAATTGGGTAGACCCCACCCCTGTCGATTCCACGCCGCAGTCCATTAACTGGGCACGCGGAAAGCAACTCTTCCAACAAAAATGCTTCCACTGCCACAAATTATTCAGCAATATGACCGGCCCCGGCCTTGCCAATGTTGAGTACCGCGGTCCCTGGCCGAATCGTAACATGTTGTATAAGTTTATTGAAAACACAAACCGATTCATAGCGAGTAATTCATATGCACGTTCATTGAAATATCAGTATGGATCCGTCATGACAAGCTTCGACATGAATAAAGAAGATATAGACGCCATCCTGGACTATATTAAAAACGAATCGTCACGACCCGGTGCGAAAGAAGCAGAAAGAGTATATACCGACAGTCTCTGGCAGGAATGGGTAAAGAAAAACCCGGCCGATAGTTTAAATGGCATTACCAGCGAGATAGGTTTATTGCCTGGTCTTTGCCCTGATTCAATATATATTTCTACCAAAAAACAGGATGTAACTTCACTTTACAACACTGACCCGATGGATACAACCGACGGGTCGCCCGAATCAATGGAATACCTCCGGAACGGATTTGTGGATTCCAACCCTACCGATGGCATGTATGACTTTGAAATAAAAACACTCGGCTGGTATAATATCGATGCTAATGTAAACGGATATCCCGGAATGGAAAATGCAAAGCTCTGGGCAGAGATAATTACCACTATTGATATCAACCTGCACGTCTACCTGTTTTTCCCGCAGCGAAAAATGCTCTCCGTCAGCTATGATAAATCAGGCAACAAATATTTTTTCGATAAGATCAATAATGGAATGCCTTTGTACCTCAATGACAGGGCGATACTCTTTGCCTTCGGTAGTAAAGGTGATAAGATGTATTATGGCATTCGCGAGTTTACCACCCGTAAAGAGCAAACCGTTCAAATTAACCTGAAAGAAACTACAGAAGAGGATATACGCCGGGCGGTCACAACCATGCAACTCGAAGGCATCGACCTGGGAATTGACAAGAAGGAAAAAATAGTTTTTCAACGCCCGTGCAATCTTGCGGTAACGGATACAAGCGTCGTCAACAAATGATCAATACAGCATCCTGACCTTGATCGTTTCCTTAACCTCTTTTAAGAGTTGAAGCGCTTGTGCCGATAATTTCTTATCAACATCAAGTACCACGTACCCGATCTCGTCATTCGTCTTCAGGTACTGACCAAGA